GGAGCCAGGAAGGGCAAACAGGAAAACTCCAGATGTGTGCAGGCAACTACTAGCACAAGTGAACTACAGGCAAACAATTCATTATGAATGGTCTAAGTGGCTGGGTGAAGATCTACACCCTCTGCAAAGGTTGAGATACACCAAAATACAAACTGAGGTATCTCTGAGAGCTTTGACATTCATTCTCAAGACATCATAAGCCCTGGTAACGGCCTGCAAGTGCATGTTCTTAGCCTTTGGGCAGTGCAATGTAATTTGACACAGCTGAGCCTGCAGTGCTGCAGGCACACACCTTAGACTTCTTTCATTTATATGGCCCCGGAGAAGAATATCTCAATTCTTTTTCAGTAATACAGCATTCACAAGTCCGACACTTCAATATTATTCTCTACATCAGACATATAGAAAAAAAAAGAATCTGATAATCAATCAACAAATGTTGTAGATGGAAATACAGATTTCCTCAGGTCCAAACTTGTACTTTCCTTATCGATTTCAGAGCTGAAAAAAGCATACAGAAGGAGGGTTATTTAATAAAGGTCCTAGAAACTGTATAGGATGCATTAATTACCTTCTTTTCCAAAATTAGACGGTCAGTCAAATAGCTCTGAGGTAGTTAAATAGAGTATTGGAAGAAACATCCAATGTAAGCAAAGGGTAACAGACTAAATGGGACTTTTCATATCTGCTTAGATTTATGAAAAATCTTCCATAGTGCTAAGATTAAAAGCCCTAAAGTTATCAGTGGCATTTATGAATCACAATTGATGTAAGATATTCTCAAAGGAAAACAACGAATGTTCAATGCAGGATGAGACGATAGCACTGCTCTTTTTATTTTGTTCTGGGAGAGTATTTGTATGAACACATATATGTGCATCCATGGTAATCGCAGACATAACCCAGAAACTATGGTGGTGGGAGCTTTGCTCTCTGAAAATCAAGTAGCCCATTAGGAGGCATAAATATTAATAGAGCTGTCTCATACTACACTCTCAAATGAGATAGTTCAGATCATGATTCTTTGCATTTGAAATTTATTCTCTGCACCAGCTAGAATAAGAAACAGAATCCGCATGTGAAAAGTCACTGATGTTGGGCAGTTTCCTAGCCATTGGTAATTCCCACATGTAAAAGTAAGGATCAAGTGATTTATTTCCTTATTCTACCCATCTTTCTCCTGTAAGTAGTCTTGTCTCCCAAACTACTTCCATGACATGAAGTATATGTCATATTTTCTATGAAAACCACACTTCCATATCTTCACATTGAGATCTATTCAGGCAACATGAAGGCTTTTGTACAGGCTCATCGCAAAAGGTGTACTGTCATCCCAACTGCAAAATACATAATATCTGGCATTTCTTTTAGTGGTCATGATTGTTCGAACTTCATTTTATAATTGTCATTAGAACTGAAAGTAGGACACTCATGGTGCAAACTCTTGTAACAACTAAATGGATATACAGTATTAAAAAACAAAACAAAACCACAAGCTTGCAGCTAAAACAGAAGATACAACCCTCAAAAGTGGTAATGAGTTACTCTGTCATTCCAAATCACAAGTTCATGCCTTGACTATAAAACAGAGATCAGCAACACTAAACAAAGTGCAAAACTGTTCAGGTATTTCCTACAAATGATGCTAAAGCTTGCAAGAACTACCACATCATCAGCAATATAACCAGTATCAGTCAGTAAAATGGTGTCATCTGGGATATAATTTAGGTTCTACTGCAACTTAAAACTATGGAGACTAGCCACAAAGAAAACAAACACAAAACTAACAAATGCCTTTGTACAAACTCTCTAAAACCAGCCCTAGCAAACAGGTGTGATTGTATGCACTCCCTAACAGAATTAGCCAACTTCTGACATTCACGGGCCCGGTAAGAAACAGACATGAAAACAAGTGATCTTTCATTACTTATAGAGACGATAAATTGAAGCTTAAGAAATATACTGAAATATAAGCAACTATATTGAGCAAAAAACAGGCTAATATTTCCTCCCTCCTTTTCACTCAGCTTCCATCCTATCAACTTGTAGTCTCTGTAGTGCTCATATCGAAATTCCAGCAACAAATTGTAATGGTTATAATTCCCATTACAACATCTAGCAGGACTTGCAGATAGGATTGCTTTCATTTCTACATCTGTCTTCATCAGATTACTTCCTGTTCTTCAAAATTTTTAATTTCCTCATATCCCTCGGCTGACAATTAATTCTTACTAGTTTATTTATCTAATAAAATCTATTTCATATAATAAGTAGGCATTAAATAGTATATAAGATAGAGCATGGTTTGGTAACTTTTAATTTATGTATCTTGTTTTAATTAAGCAGATGGCATAAAAGTTTTCCTCTCATTTTCCTATTTACTCTTTTCAGTAACTTATCATTCACTGATTGTAATGAAATGACTACAACCGACATGCAGCAAAGGAGACAGTATCAGTCCTTTCTTCTTTCTCTGTATGAGAAAGCAAGGCCATTTCCAAGCTGGAAGATGACCTTACTCTACTGCATCTTTGTTCTACCGCTTGATCCCACTACTCTGAGAAATGAAGGAACTCCAGACCAAGGAGAACCCAAGGCTGTGTATGGGTGAGCAGAGGGTGAGCTGCTCTACGAACAGGGATGGCTGCTGCTCTGCCAGCTGCCCAGGCAAAAGGAATCCAGTGATTCTCTGCACTTGTCAAGGAGAAAGGTAGGCTGCTGCTGCTCCTTATTGTGCTGTTTCTGCAATGAATTTAACTGCAGAAATACCTCCAGAATTTCAAATAAGTCTCTTTATTCTCCTTTGGGCTCACAAGACAATAAACATGACTTTCTCATCTACTGGGCTCTTCTTTCCTTTATTTTTGCTATTTTTCTGATCTATTTTTTATTTTTTTAATATTCTCTCATAGGAAAAATACTTTCTGAGAACAATGATGGAGATCTGCATCTTTATTTATGACTTTGTGAATCAGTGTCTGGGTGATAGGAAGTGAAAGTTGCTCAGCTAATTACACACGCTTGATGAACTGCGTAATAACTGCTGCAGCGCTGCACATTAATTGAATGCATATAAATGACAGCAGTTATTCTAACTTGAATGATTTGTGAAGAAGTGACATTGCTCACCGTACCCTGATTATCTTTGTTTTCAACTTTGGCAATCCAGCTTAAGCAATTGTATTTTTACGGCACTGAGAAAAGAAATTCCCCAATAGAAACATCAGCGGTTGACTCAAAGCTCCATGCTTTAATAACAAATTTAACTGCCTTAAGTAACTGCAACTGGATTCAGACATCTAAGAAAGCATACACAGAGCAACTACAATTAACAATTAATAATTAACAACTAGCTGCAATTAACAATCAGTAAAACTGCAATAGCAAGAACCCTGGAAAATACGGCCACCTTCACTTAGATGCCTAGATCTGAGTTAATAGAGTTGAACGTTGCCTGACTTTTTACCATTTCTTGCTATGACACTTGCTATATTTGTTCTGGAGTAACTGCAGCATATAGCAACTTATATTAAATACGCAGGTAAGACTACAGGTAATCGGTACCTTCCACACAGCTCTGTTTACCCTAAAAAACACTCTAGGTTCAAGAGCAGCCCAACAATTACAGAGCACATTTCAGAGAGAATAATAAAATATAATAACTTGTTGAAAAACAAATGTGTAAAGTAGTATAAAATTAATACTTTAAAGTTGTTACCAAATACCTGCTTCAAACCACTACCAGAATATACCTTGCACATCACCTATTAATCACCTTGGGGATCTGGAAATGCCCACAAAGAAATCTGCAAATTCCCTGATGCTATCTAACATTACAATGGTAAAAGCCAAGATTCTAAAACGCCCTAGTTTCCAACGTATCACCTCACAACATTTTAACATTTCTTTACACCCCTATTAAGAGATTTGGGGTTTTACAAAGAGAGCCGTAACCACCCAATAAAAGAAATCAGCACTCACTTTTCACAACGCATAAACGAAGTGTTTCACAAAAACGTTCCAGAAAAGTTAACACTGCTTTAAGAAAACAGCATAGATCACATAGGAAGTCAACACGGATTTTCAGCTCCGCTTTGCTACAGTACCTAATAGCCATCGCACTAAGCCACTGGACTGTAGAGCTGAGGAGTGCCAGCAGCATCAGTGGCTCCCAGGCATGAAAGCCACCTCCTGTGCATGCATATACAACGCAGGGTGTCAGCACATGAGGGACAGACACTCCTCTATACCACGAGGCCATGACAGAGAAGCTGCCAACGGGATCAGTATAGGACAGTGAAAGAGAGATGATCAGGATCAACCAAGTTCAAGCTTTGCAAATGTTATCTGCTCATTTGCTTTATGCAGTCCTCTCCTTAAGTACTTTCCTGGCTTTACTACGACACGACGGACAGCATCAGCAAATCAACCTCTTTCAGCTGTATTATATGCTCCTCCTTTGCAAGGTTTCGATTTTTCCCCCACTTTTTTTTTGTACACTTTATACATACCTCCTTTTCTACAAATTTTCTTGCCGGGTTTTCTGGCACATTCCTTGGATATTCTTTTGACTGAAAAATGAATAGAAGACTAGAAAATAACATGGAGCTCCGTCACAGACAGTAGGAGCATGCAACACCACTATCTAACTCAAATATGACCTGCGTTATTAGGTGCGGAAGAATCTCAACTTGTGGTGCCTGCACATGCAATGGATAAGATGTTGATGCATCTTCCCAGAAGTCAGTGGGTGGCAATGAGAATTAGGCACCAAATTCGACCTAAAAATACACGTGCTGTGGGAGAAAAGAAATGAGTGTAGACGGAAGTCTTTTTTTTAAAAAAAGGACAGATGCATACAAAGAAAAGCAGCATGCATACATGTAGTATGCTGGCATGCAACAAAGAAAGCCATGCTAACAGTAGACATGAATTAATATTGTTAGAACGTAGAACAGGAAAATAAAAAGATCTCCCTGTTTTGCCTGCTATTAACTCACCATCCTCGGTTGGGACATAGATATTTAAATAGAGGCAGTCTTCATTCTGATCTTGTACATAGGTGGAAACTACATCCAAGTTATTAGTAAACCACACGGGAAGCATGACTTCAGGCAACCTGCCTTCTATAATGTTCTGGGGACATACTGGAGCAAACTGAGTGGTATTTTTGATATCTGCCCAGGGAGACGGAGGCTCAGGAGGTTGAAAGCGGCGCTCCCCTGTTGGAGGGGCAGCATACGGAACCCCGAGAAACTGAATAACAGGCCCCAAAATTTCATTATTTAGTTCCTTCTTAATCCCTCTTATCTTGCCAAAGTTGGTGGTCACCACTGGGTTGGTATCATCCAATTTTTGGGAGGACACAGCTGCAGCGTGAAGCAAAAATCCAAGTATAGAGAAAGCAAAAGTGGCATTCAATCCCATGTGTAGCAGGCGGGCTATCAGCGCTCTCCATACACAGTTCAGCCACATGGATCTTGGAAAGGCCATGGTCCCACATTAGTTGTGTGACTACAATGAAGCAATCTTATTTGTATCCACTGGTGTAAAAAGAGGGCGACCAAAGGAAACAGATCAAGTTTCCTAAATAGGAGCCTGTCAGAAAAATCTCAAAAGGCTTTTCATGTGGTAAGTATCTTCCATTGATTTCACACTTATTGAAGCTGCATCTTCACTCAGCACTATTTATCAGACTACATCCTATTGACAATTCTGTTTTCCATAGCAGCAATATGAAGAGAGCGGCCATTTACTGCAGAATCCCCTCTTATAAATCAAATCCAGTTAGCCGCAGGTCTATATCCTGGAGAAAATGAAAATAAATCATTAGTATGAAAGAGCTAATATGAGCAGAGTGATAACTAGATGTCTCACAAGTTATGTACATACATTAATAGCTGCTAGAACCATGTAAGTAAAACTGCACTAGTTTATGGGTCCATGAAATGGTGGGTGAAGCACTGATTACTGGATTATCCATAACATCACCTGTTGAATTCACACAGGTTTTTCAGAAGAAATAGATCTGATAGAAAACACATTTTTAAAATTCACCTTATCAAGAATAAGCACTTTGCTGCCAGGCCCCATTAAATACATGTTTATTCTCATATTTAATTCAACTGAATCATCTCCAAATCAGCTCTCACCTTATTTGCAGTAGTTACCAAAAAAAAAAGTAATTATTTATTTAAAGCAAAAGAGTGAATTAAGATATACAGGCATACAGAAGACTCAAATGCTTTTTATTTCATCCAGAGCAGACGACAATATATGCAAACATTTGTTCATTTAACAATACAACTTCTGATTCAAACATCAGGACAACTGGTATACCTTTATAAGAATAACACAAATTACCATGCTTTGTATGGTTTTCTTATCCTCAAATTTCTAATAGCTAATGAAACGCACCCAAATTGCGGCAGTGCGAAACAGCCACAGAATGACAAAGGCCCAGAGTCTGCTCCCACCAAAGTGAATGGAAATTGCAGATTTGCACAGAACTATGACTAGACATCAGTGTTTGTCCCTGAAAACTGACCAGGAAAAGGGTCTGGGCAGGCACGTTAGGGATGGAGCAGATATCACAGTTTTTACTTCAGGCCTATCCCACCTTCCTTTTCAACTACTCACAAATGAAAACACACCATGAACACGCTCAATTCCTACCACTCTTATTTTACAATATAAACAACAAACGCTCCCACAGGGCAGTGGAAATCTTATCTTTCATATACCCCCATGCTGACTGAACAGTATCCTGGAACAATCATCGGTTAGGATCAGGGACTGTATAACCACCAATTCCAGACTCTATTTTCAACCACGTTAGCTCAGAGGTTGTCACACAAGGCTGTGTTCCAGCACTTCTGAAAATTACTCAGTGCATATCATTATATCTTCCATATGCATGTTAAACATATTTCTAACACGATTTACAATATCCTATTATTTAAAATGCAGTGTTATACACAACATAGCAGTATAATCTTACGCTCCCTATTAAGCAGTGTGCAAAGCACAAGAAATGTGTTTTGCTTTGCATAGGAAATACTTTAAACCACCTGTTTTTGAACAGCATTGGCAGTTTTAATGAGAATTGTTGTTTTTTTTTTATCATGTCTATACACATTGGAGAGAGAATTCAAAAGAACGGCTTGTCTAATAGTCAGACTACCCTGCAGTTTGGGTTATTAAAAAGGAGATTGTAAAAGCTATATAGGACAGCAGGAGATTTGGTTCATGTCTAGCATTCCTTTAGCTCTGAACAATCTATCTCAGGAGGCAATAAGGAGATAGATGAAGCTTTTCCACAGTTTTCTCTCTCCCTTTCTTTCTCTGCTAATTCTAACACCTTCACTGTGAAACTGCATTAAGAAACAGGCTTATGCCCTTCATTCTCCAGCTTCAAACTCCCTGTGTTTACTGGAAACACACTAATTTAGCTGCAGAAAATAATTCCCCTGAGTTAACCTATGTGTTTAATAAACTTGAACAGAAGGGCATACGAACAATTGGCTCTCAGTAAGCTTTGTCACATTTCAAATTTTGAAGGTAGTGGGCTATTGCTTGAGAAATAGTACAGACAGAGGACAGGTGCTGGAGCACAGGCCACTTTATGCAGTTTTGCTGCTCTGAGCTGATGTGCAGTGATGGAACAGGAGGTCCTGGAAAGATTGAACAATTCGCCCTATGAGATATAGACCGGTTCTCAGCTCTAAGACAACTTTCTAACCCTTTTTGTACCTAAAACAGAAGTTTTAACAACAATGATGAAATCACAGGAGTTAATCAGAACACAGACATATTTTGGATTGTAAGACTTCGGCGAGACATTTTCCTTTAAATAATAATTTCAGTTCAGAATAAGTTACATAAATTTGAAGCAAATCGTAGAGCCAGGCTACAGTTTTAAGCTCGTTCGTCTTGCTGCTGCAGCTGAACATTTCTGCTGTGATTGAAAGTTCTGGTTTGCTTCCCTTGGATGAAGTTTTGCTCTAAGACAGAAACTGGGCTAAATTGATAAGACTAAATTGTTTGGCTATTCTCATTAATTAAGTTTTGGGTACTAGCTAGCTTCAGTGAATAGATTTTTAAGCCACACAAGGCAATAAACTATAAGGCTTTGCAACGTTGGAATCAACAGATGTGTATTGTGCTTGTAACTTGAATTCTAGGTTTGTGTTTTTCCCCATTAGGCAACAGTTTATTGTTGAGAGTCAGATAGGTCAAACATCTGAGCCCGTTGCTGGATGCACCGAGTCTACAAAAGTTAAGAACACTAACTCACACAAATAAAGAGACTGTGATTATTCGGATCTTATGAGAATTTTATGCCAAAATTTCATACCCAGAACTAGGTGGGAAGGCAAAGTGGGGATGCCAGCCTGGAGCTTAGCTGTCTTAGTAGCTCAGCATCAATGTTGGACACAAAATTTTCCTTAGTCCTCCAGCAGATAATCTACATAGGACTTCCCGAGGACTGATCCAGACTCCAAAGGACTGATCAGGGGTCAGTGAGACAGAAGCAATTAACAGGAGGGGGAAAAATCGGGGAGATGGGCATCACAATAAACCAAAGAACAGAGACGATCAGTTTGAGCCAAGGTATAAAGCTTTAGCAGCGGAGCACTGTAGATCTGAGGAGGACGAGGAGAAGCATTTTCAGATTTTTTATTGTCTAGATGTGAGGATCACAATTGTTCCCTGTGGTAACGCAAATGAATTCTACTGTAAAAGGTATTTGATAAAGTCTTTCACGGTCTTTGGAACAGTCTACGCTATATAGAGGTTTTTTCTATCATCCATTATTTGATTATCTTCCTTTCTGAATTTAAATTACTTTATAGCTCAGATGCTGAAATACTTTAGAACAGCATTTAGTATGCTGAGGAGCGAACAGCCCAAGATAACTTCAGAGTATCTTTGCATTTCCAATGACACAGGGCATCCCACAACCAGTCGCATCTGCTGCAAACTGCAGCAGCCAAATTCCTCTTTGTCACTCTTGCACAGAGCTTCAAATCTTAAGGGATATCTTGAACTGTACCACCTGTCAATAGCTCCAATGGATTAATAAAACCTTCAGTGGGACTTGGTGCTCCTGGCCATATGCTGGGCATTATTTAGTCTTTACACCACTGACTGTTTTCTTTTTAGCTGAAGATGTACTCTGTGACTTGATAATCATGCTTAAAAATTCCTTTCCTTCAATTTTAGTGCAAACTCCCAATTGCAAAAATATTCATAGAAAGTGACTGTAAGGGTTTCGAACATCATACAGTGCTGCTTCATCTCGAAACACAAATACAATTTTGCAGAACCAACTGCATTTGCATCCATTTTTCCTTACAACGGTCTCTACTTACGACTGAGAGCCTAAAGATGTTTTGTGTCTCTAAAAGGAAACCTGTGTTCTGAAGAACACTGTGATCCCAAACAGGAACACGGGCAGCGAAACAGAAGCCATTAAAGGGACAACTGTGACCCAGGGTGAACACCGGATCACTGTGACACAACGATTGTCAACATGATCAGGCAAATCCTCCAGAGACATATCATGAAATTTCCCATCTCTTCCTTCACATTTGAAGTTGGTAAAGGGAAGTGTTGTTTCAAATAAGGCGCATTTTCTCACAGTGTAGTAATAAAAATTTGGAAACAGACCCTGCTTTTGGGTACTTCCACAGAGACTTGGTTGAAGGAAGGGATTTACATGTGTTTAGTCCAAGAAATGAGCTATTTGCACTCTAAAAAGCAGTCTTTGCAATGATAAAAGAGGAGACTGCAATCCTGAATCTCACACATCTTAGAAAGGCACAGATCTGGAGGAGCTTGGGGAGCTTCAGAAAGCAGCTACAGATCCAGATCTGCTGACATGCACAGCCTTTGCTGAAACTGCCAACAATTAAGACATTATTCTGCTGGGGTCACGGTCCCACCCACATTAGTATGAGATTACAAGTGTTATGCTACACAGGTCTGCAAACAATCCAGGGGTAGGGATTTCCAAATGCTTCAAGCTGTGTCAATATATCACTCACAGATCACAGGATCAGATTCCTCAATGTAACTCTCACGTTTGCCTCTATTTAACAGCACCTTTTGTACACAAAGCCTTACAACCAAATCAGGAAAAACTACAAGTGAATATATATGAATACATTATTCAACACAATGAAGCACAAATTAATGAAAAGTTGGATCAAATTGAGTAGATGATATAAGACTCATTTAAATTGCCATGTACTTTTCAGTTTCGCTGTATTTTTGTTCTTCCCCATTAGTGGGAATATTCACTAATGCTAACTCATTATTAATTAGTATTTTCATGATCAAAAGATCTCTTTAAATAATTTCTGCATCTTGGTTTGCCAAAATAAGGAGACTTCTGATCTTAATTTTCTATTAAGATGCTTTTGAATTAGACAAATTAAACCTATGGAAAGAAGAGGGTCACTTCAGTCTTACTATCTTCCATTTACTCATATCAATAAATCATTTTCTTAAAATAGTTCTACTTCTTAGCTGAAGTAATTGTTTATATTACCAGAAGTTGGCTACAATTTGTTAATGTGGACTGTAGCTATCTGACATTTTGCACAGTAAGTAGGTAACGAAATGGTGATTTTACCCATAACAGAAAGAATGGGTAACTCTGTCACTTACGTGTAAAGTTTTAGACAGCTAAGTAATACAGATTTAAATTAAAAATGACAGATGCACTGGTGTGGAATATAATGGGCACTGAAGTGAACCTTTATTCCTTTTAGCAGCTTATGGTTAACTCTTAAATGGACC